AAGGATGCAATCCTGGGCTGGTATGGTAAATTTAGGAAGTCATTAAATTAAGAAGCTTCCTCCAACTCTCCTCTCCAGCCTCCTTGTAATGTGGCTCTCAACCTTGTGGTCCATCAAGTCAGCCCAAGCTCCAACCATCACATCCATATTCCAGACAGTGGAAAGTAACCAAGAAGAAAGGGTCAAAAGGCATATTCACGGTCTTTTAAGGAGGCTTCCTGTAAACTGCACAGAACACTTCCACGTGCATTTCATTGTTCCAGAATTTGTCATAGGGAGCTATCTAGCTGCAAAGAAAGCTGGGAAATGTAGTTTTTACTTGGGGGCAGTTATGTACTTGAGAGTTTTGTCACTAAAGAAGAAAGGGAGAACAGCTATTGGGGTAGGAGACCAGAAGACTTTGCTATAGTTAATAACTGCAAGCTTCTTACTGTGAGGGAAAAATCGGCTTATATAAAATACAATTGTAGACACACACCTGTATTCATGTGCACACTTCTTTGTTTATACTTTAACATATGTAACATATATAGCTTGCCATTTTCACCCTAGTCTTAGCCCATCAGAATTCCTCTGTAGTCAGTGAACTAACTATTTTCCAGTGTTTTGGGCATAAACGTAACTCTACCTGATGGCAAAAGAAAAATAAGGATACTTTACATTTTGTGTATCAGCATGCATAGAAATACAGTCATGGGCCACATAATGGTGTTTCGGTCACCAATGAACTGCAAATATGATGGTCACATAGGATTATGAGCTTAAAAGTTCCTATCACTTAGTGACATAGCCATTGTAATACCATAGCACAATGCATTACACACATTTACAGTGACGCTGGTATGAACAAACCTACCTGTGCTATCAGTTGTATAAAAGTACAGCACATGCAATTATGTACAATAAATAGTACTTGATAATGATACTGAACAACGATGTCATTGACTTATGTTTTTACTACACTATACTTTTTACTATTATATTTTAGAGTGTATGCCTTCTACGTATTAAAAAAAAAAAAAGTTAACTGCAAAACAGCCTCAGGCCAGTCCTTCAGGAGGTGTTCCAGAAGAAGGCACTGTCATCACAGGAGATGACAGCTCCACGTGTGTTACTCCCCCGAAGACCTTCCAGTGGAAGATGGTGACACGGATGATCCTGACCCTGCATAGACCTAGGTGAATGTGTGTCTTTGTATCTCAGCATTTCACAAAAAAAAGTGTAAACAGTAAAAAATAAATTTTAAAAATAGACAAAAGCTCATAGAATATGGATAGCAATATTCTTGTACAGCTGTACAATAAATACGTTTGTGTTTTAAGCTAAGTGTTATCCCAAAAGAGACAAAAAGATTTAAAAAAAATGAAAAGTTTACAAAGTAAAAAAGTGCCCGTAAGCTAAGGTTAATTTACTAGTGAAGAAAAAAATATTTTTAAATAAATTTAGTGTGGCTTAAGTGTCCCGTGTTCATAGAAAGTCTACAGAAGTGGCCAGTAACATTCCAGGCCTTCACATTGACCCATCCTCACCCACTGACTCACCCAGAGCAACTTTCAGTCCTGCAAGCTCCATTCATGGTACGTATCCTATACTGGTGTGCCATTTTAAATCTTTTACACCTTATTTTTACTGTTTAGATACACAGATACTTACCATTGCGTTACAATTGCTTACACTATTCAGCCTAGTAACATGCTGCACAGATTTGCAACCTAGGGCAATAGGCTGCACCTGATAGCCTAGGTGTGTAGTAGGCGATTGCATCTGGATCTGTGTGAGTGCAGTCTATGACGTTTACACGACGACAAAATCGCCTAAGGATGCATTTCTCAGCACATACACCTGTCACTAAGTGATTCATGGCCGTAAGTAATTACATGTATGTGTCAGTATAACACGCTCTGCTACTGTTTCAATGTAAGCATGGCAATTATTATGCTCATCCTATTGGATTTAGGGATGGATATTCCCTATTCTGAGTCTGTTTATGCCAGTGCATGTGTTTGAGTGAATGGCAAGAACTTGCTATACCTTCCATTTCTATAGTGCCTGCTACTTTATAGAATTGTGGAGACATCCTGGTAGAATAAATACAAAACAGATAAACTGTCTTTACATTGGATGTGTGGTACATACCGTTCTTTATCACGTTTCCTGTGTACTCTATTTCACGGGCACATAATATATACACCAGATTTCCTCCCTATTTTCTACAACATCAAGGACAATGCCCTGCCCCCATGTAATATTATATTATTTTGTTTTAAAATTGCATCTTCTCTCATTCCCCACCCACCTGTCCGGATACACTCCAACATCGTATTTGGCCATGCTACCACACCCCTAATATAACAGCATATGGCATGTTTCAAACCAAAGATTTAGGATTTTCAGTACCCTCAGCGATCAGGTGTTGGAAGCGTCCAAAAAGTGACCTCTAGAAAACTAGGGCTACATGATTTACATTTTACACTGTCTAAATGCTTTACAAAGGACTCTCTCTTAATCTCCCACTAACCCTATCATTAAAGTGCACGCTATCATCGTCATCCCTGTTTTTACAGAAGTGGAAACTAAGCCTTGCCTAAGTTAAAGTACAGTTACATAGCTAGGGGCAGCCTGACACCAACTGCAGATGGTCTGCCCCCAAAGCCCACGATTCGAATCACGACGCCATGATTCAGATCATCAGCATGGCCCCTGACGGTCGGTATCCAGGGTCCCCACAGAGAAGCTTTGCCAGCCACACACATTTGGGGAGCACCGCTTTGTACAGCGTGCTCTGCTCAGACACAGTCCCTCTCTGGGAAGGCCTGCAGTCTGGTTAGGAAAATAACGTGATCATATAAAATGACTGGAATATCGAATACCCTATCCACAAGAACCCACTGATCTCCAGGCTGAGGTGGGCTCGTGACTGCAGAAGAATTAAGAATCGTAGGGGTTCGTAGCTGCTGACATACTGTTGCAGACCACCTTGCCTCACTATGAAAGATGCAGTAGTTTGAGGCAAAGGTTTTTCGGGTGTTTTTTTTCTTTCCCAGGCAAATCGTGTCTTCCCATGAATTAACCACCAGCCATTTTCATGTGCACTCACTCATCCCCCTGCCACCCCAGTCATTTATTTGCAATCACGTTCGCATATTCTGGGCACTGGAAGTTGGTTCAGTTAACAAGGAAGAAGGAAACTGATAAAGATATTGTTAATGGATCTCTTTGTGCATAAAAAGAACTCCCATCTTCCCTCCCACATGCTGTCCTGAATTCCCCTTTTCCTTCTTCTCAAAGTTTTACTTTTTCTCGGAATGTCTGTGTGTGCCATATGACAGTGATTTTCTGTGGTAATTGCTTTATTCTTCAATAAGAACCTTTACAATAGCAAACTCCTACAATACTTATGTGTAAATTAGGGCTGTTCCAAGGCAAAAAATTGAAACTTGCACGTCGTCGTTTTTGATAAATTTTTTAAAAATCCCCTTGAATGTGAGAATATTTGTCTTGTGCCAAAAAAAAAAAAAAAATTAATTATTTTCTGCATCTAGAGTTTCATGCGTTTGGGTTTACATTACAGGATCTCAGAGAGAATAGATCATTAATTCATTTCAACAGAGTCAGCTTACCAAGAAAAAGTGTGTTTCGTTCTGCTTTATACAAAAGTCGGGTACGATTCTATAGAAATGCAATTTTACAATTAGAGTGCTCTTGGGCTTATGAACAGTGTTCATAAGTCGGCTGGCTGTGGAGGGTAGAGGGTGGCTGCATCCCCAAACAGCAGGGCCCAGCACGAGGGAAACGCCACACACCTTCTCTGAGGGGCCCCAGAAGAAATGATCGCGGTAGCAGTAGCTTTATTTTGCTCACTTGCAATAGCAACAACAAAATGATGCCACAGACGAAAACTGTCATGTCCCACCCGCTCCATCTGTCCTGTGCTGTGCACCCTCATTCTACAAATTAATCTTTCACACATTTTTTAACAAAAAAGTGTTCATGTTATAAAAGAAAAAAAAAAAAAAACAAGGAAAACAGAAAAGGCTGTGTAGAAAATAAATTAAATTTAAATTTGATGGCAGTTATGACTTTTTTTATTGACTATAAGAGCAAACAGTCACATCAAATTGGTGCCACTGGCATATAATTAAAACCACAGGGCACCCTTAATGATCTCTGACAATGATCGCGTGTGTTTTTTTTAAATATAGCACGCACATTTTGTCCAATTTGGGCTCTTTTTTCCTGTTGCTTTTGTCCTCTTTCTGAGTGGATATTATTCATGAACTGAGTCTTTATTATCTATTTGGCCATCTGCATAGCATTGGCCATAGTCCCCTGTATTGTAATTTTGAGTGAAAATAAGGACTGCTGGAGATTGCAACACTAAAAATAAATAATAATAATAACAACACGCTTTAAGAACTCAAAAGTAAAAAACATAAAGAAAAACATTTGGGCTGGAGGTGAGCTTTGGAGGTACGTGGCTTGAAGGTGGGGGTGAAACAAAAATCATTCCATTCCCTCATTCAGCATAATAGAAGCTGGATATTCACTCTGACCAAACTACCATCTAGTTGCCTTGATAAGATAATATGCAATTCTGAAAGCGATGCTTCCTCATGCTGGATTGTCTTTGAAAGAAAACAAGTATTTGTTCTCTTAGTACTCTCTTGCTTCAGAAGTCCATAGACTTCTTCGTGGAAGGACAGCCAGTAGCACAGCCTCCTCTGGCTATCAAGATTTTAGCCACTGAATATTCATCTTTACCACGTATTAGGTCCCTTGCTTTTAGTTTAGTGAAGGCAGATTTTTTAAAAAGTTAAAATAATAGAACATATTTCCAATTAAAAAAATATGCGTGGGGGAAAATGAACTGAAAACTAGTATAATTGTTTTATTTCTAAAACGTTGTCTAATCTTATTTGGTTTCCTCCATTCTTCCCCCCAACCCTTTGGATCTTTTCTTTTCTCTCTTTCTGAAATTCTCTTCATCAGGGTTTACTTGCCTTTATTTTCTTTCCACTTGTCAGATCTTCCCTGCAGCCTCTGGAAGGCCATCAAACCAGCTGATTGAAAGATGAATATGAGTTAGCAAAGAAACATCTTCCTGAACAGAATAAATATGCAAGACTATAATATATGAGAAGAACACTTTTGTTTCAAGTGAAAATATACAGTATTCTATTTGTTTTTTAATGTTCTTTGATTTTTTTTTTTGCTTGTAGTTTATTCCTATTAAACTTGAGGAATATTCAATTAAAGCTTTGCTTCCTCTCTCTCTCTTTCTCACGCTTTCTTTCTCTCTTTTTCATGCACACAAACTGCTTGAGCTCACTACCAAAGCAGAATGAATTCTGTCAATTATCTCATTATTTAGAAAATGAGTTATTTACTTGCATTGAATTATGGTTTAAAATAACTTTCTTGTTGTATTTCTCTTTCCTTCCAAAACTGGTTCATGTATGTATACAGTAATAACCTGAATGGCATAAAATTTTCAAATTTGGAAAGTTTGAGCTAATCACTTTAATATCCATATTGATTTACCTAAAAATAATGAAGAAGTTCTAAAATCAAAAGAGATAACCCAGTTTCCAAAATAGCCCATGTGTACTTGCTCATGGCAGATAAAATTTAGGGCATATGTATTTATTTATTTTCATACCTATTTAACTACTATAGAGAGGGTATGCTGGTCATTTTAAAAAATGATTAAGAGTTAATTTATAGCTTTTAAGACTAATTTAATGACAAATATTCCAATAGCCCCATAATACTAAACTTTTGTATCTAGCATTAATGTTAATTTTAATTATTATATGTTTATATATTAATATTATATCCGTTAGTTACCTCCATGAGATCTGCAGAAAATAAAAATGCAATGATATTTTACACAACTGTTTTAAGCCACATCATTCCATTTTCTCTAAATTGATGTGATAATCATTGATATTTTAAAACCTTATCCAGATGTGCGTTTAATAATACAGTACAGATTTCTCTTTAACAAACTATATTTCAAGTCTGATTCTCTAAAACAAAAAATTCCTCCCCCTAAAAAGCAAAATCCATAGTCTAGAGTATGCACAATTGAGAGTCAAAATTTCCACCCTTTTAACATAAGAATAAAGTGATAAAAAAAATCATGTCCTTAAAAATATTCTTTTAGCAATCTGATATAATACGAATACTTTAAATAATACTAAAAGACATTATACTTGTGTGAAATGGTCTGGGCCAATATCACATGCCTCAGTCATTCCTTTGTATTGTTCCTCCAGCCCCCACCTCCTGCTAAAGTATTATATCAAACGTTATCTGATACTAAACATTAACTCTTAACCATAGCTTACAACTGCCCTGAGTTGAACTAGAAATTCCAAGACAGAATAACAAACGGGGCCTCTCTCTCCACTCACTCTCATTCTGTGGGAGTTTTAGAGTTGTTTAGGAAAGCTGGATTTGAAGAATGACATCCTAGCGTGCTTAGGTAAAGTATGTTCATTCTAGAATATTTCTGTAGCTGTTTGTAAATGTCACAGACTGATCATCTCAGAAGCTGTGTAAGAAGAAGGGATCTCAATCAAATGTCTGACCAGATCCCTCCTTATGGCCGTAAGAGTTTAATTTTCATTTAAACAACAATAAATACAGGCATAAGGGTTTGAGATGAATTATGTAAGCCCCTTAGCTACAACCATTACATTCTGCCACCAAGTGAGCTGCTGTTCTCACTTTGTTTTATGGGTTCTGCATAGCCTGTGTTATTATATCTGCCAAATAAAACCCAGCAAACCATGCAAATGAAAATATAATCTTTTATCTCTCATAGTCACCGGATGCACCCAAATATATAATTTTATCGATTCCTCTGCACCAAATGTACTGCTATTAGGACCCTACTGTCTTAATAGGACCTACAGAAAGGGAAAACGTTTCTTGCTTGGAGGTATCTTCATTTATATCCACCAATAGCATATGTCTGCAGTTGAGGCTGCACTTGAAAAGTCAGGAATAATTCCTTTCATTATATTTTTAGCTCGTTTATGTGGTTCGATGGAGATCATGGATGCATCCTCAAGGATAAACACCCAAATGACTCTACGTTTTCAAAGCATGGCAGATTCTAATTTGTTTAAAAACAATAGAGTTTTTTCTTTTGATTTCAGAGTGGCCTAAATATCTGAAGAAAAATGACTTAGTGAATTGTTGATGAACTAGCTCTGCAACTCACCAATCTTAATTTGGGGACTTGGACAAGTCACTTAGCCATTCCATTTCAACATTCTCCTCCAAGTAATGAAAATAACAACACATCTTATGCCTATAAGCGATGTTTGAGGAATAACTCACCTCTAAAATGCCTCAAGGATGAAAAACCTCTTCTATATCCTAAAGAATTGCTATGCTGCTCCCAGGAGTAAAGTCTCTACCATATCCATCTGGGGATATTTCTAGGTTGGGTCAGAGTGCACCCCAAAAAAGTAAATATATGCTTTTCTGGTAGTCTACATAATAAGCTCTCCTTCATCCCAAGTTTAAAGGGAGCAATTCAACATGTAAAGCATTGCTATTCCCGCTAGCCTTGGAAAAAACAAAGGTGTAAGTTATTTCTTTTCACTATCTCCCTTCCCTTCTCCCCTCCTTCCCTTCTCTTTTCCTTCTCTGCTGCCCTCTCCCTTCCATCCTTCTGTTCTCTCCCTCCCTCCCTCCCTTCCTAGAATATTTCTTGAATGCTTATTATGTGCCAAGCACCATTCTAGGTGCTAAGGATATTATCATAGAAAGAGTCCCCATCCTGAGGGAGCTTACATCCCACCAAGGAAGATAGGAAACAAAAAACAGAGGCCGGGCGCGGTGGCTCACGCCTATCATCCCAGCAGTTTGAGAGGCCGAGGCAGGCAGATCACGAGGTCAGGAGATCGAGACCATCCTGGCTAACACAGTGAAACCCCATCTCAAAAAAATACAAACAAATTAGCCGGGCGTGGTGGCGGGCGCCTGTAGTCCCAGCTACTTGGGAGGCTGAGGCAGGAGAATGACGTGAACCAGGGAGGTGGAGCTTGCAGTGAGCCGAGATTGGGCCAAGGCACTCCAGCCTGGGCAACTGAGCAAGACCCCTTTTCAAAAACAAAAAAAACAAAAAAACAAAAAACAAACAAACAGAGTGGGTACCTTTGACAATGGGAATTTTCCTGGTTCACTTTATCAAAGTAGTTCAAGAGTGCTTCCTTCCAATGCTAGTTCATGCATCTGGTGATGAGCCAGGCCAGATGTTTTGTACAGAGGCTGATGTAATTCCAACCAGGCCTGATGCATGATAAGGATTCAGTGGCTGTTAAAGGAATGAATTTGAAATGTGATTAGTTAGGTTAACATATAATTCAAATTACTCAATGAAATGTCAACACATACCTACAATTTCCCTATAAGGTCAACCTAAAACTACGCAACGAATGTGCTATGAAATTCTTATCCCTATTAAGAAAAATCTAGTTCATATTAAGCCAATCTTACCAGAAAAACCAGCCAAACTAGTGACTTAGGTATATGAGTGTGCATGTGAGTACACACACACACACACCACACACACACACACCTTGCCTTGATTGTAGCAACCTCATGTCTGGAAAGAGTTAAATGCTGAGTACAGCCTACATTATTTTTTAAAAATTCTTTATTCTTTTATCAAGTGATCTCTTGGCAAAATCAACTGAGTATATTCTAGTCTTCTTTACTTTGGGGCCAGCTATTTCATGAAGTATTATTTAAGAATAATTTGCAAGACAAAAAATAGTGCCATACATCAGCAGAGCCAGGAAGAAGTATTCACATCTCTGCTTTATTTACCTTGCTGCTGCCACCACCAACTCTGCCAGCACCATCGCCACCACCATGGCCTCTACCGTAGATCACTTCCCACTGGGATCTTTCCTTCTCTTTCCCCTTCTTCCATTTTCCTTCTTCTGTACTGTCACCATTTTCTCACCATTCTTCACAGCCCTCCCGTCCCTGTAAAGCTCTTGTCCCATATATTGCTCTACTCTGTCATTTGTCTCTGTCTAAAATGCCCTATTGTGCATGTGTCTCTGTCACGCAGTCTCTTGTCCCCGTCTGTTTTAGTGAGCCTGTGTTCCTGCATCTGTCCCATATCCCAAGTGCTAAGGTACAGCATGGCGTTGCAGACCAGTTGTGAGTCCGGTTTCTTTTTTTGAACCTCAATTTTTTTTTTTTTTTTGCCATGACCTTGCTGAGCAGCCTCAGTTGTATAAAGTGACTTCAGAGCAATGGGTTTTCAGTTAAACCATGTGACAATGCATTTATGTACAGAGACAGAGAACAAAGAAAGCTTCCAGGCCCCTAGAAGGAATGTGAAATGTGTGTTCTCTGAGTTCATATTCAAGAACCACTTTTCCTATTGTCTCCCATAAAGCTATTACTGCAGCTTCAATTTAAAATGCTTATTTTTACTGAGTTTAATTTAGATACACATTTGCATTGTAAAATGGGTACTTCAAAAATAATCATTTTAGTCTTAGGCATAAATGCTAGTTCTTTGTAAGAGAAGTAACTTCCTGAGTTGCATGTTATTGCTAAGGGCGAAGTAAATTTCTGGAGTGAGATTTAACCTTCTGTCTGCTCTTATTACCGGGAATAGTTTGAATTTGGTACGTATCAAGACTTTTGTGTTAAATTTATAGAATTTCTTTATAACCAAAGAGTTGCATTAACACAATTTTATCTTATTACAGTAGTTAGGATTGGTAAAAACTTATTAGGCATCAGCAACATATTAGTCACTGAAAGAAAAATGAAATCTCATCTTTGTCCAGTGGATTCACAATGACATTTATATATACATAATGAAGATATAAGAGGGAATGATACTATTTTATGTATTGTTGGCACCTAGCACATGGTGGAAATTTAACAAGAACCATGATAATACAGTTTCCTTAACATATACTAAGTTCTTAGTAAATAACTTCTAGATTTATCATTTTCCTTTCTGCTGGTTTAAATCCAAGAAGGTGCTGCCTTCAAGAGTGAAGCAAGCACAAAAGGGAAGGAAGAATCTCTGCCTGGAGGAGAATGCAGACAGACATGCTGTTTGTGTCTTTGGGTCTGAAGCACAGCAGCTAACACACAGTAGGTGTGAGGCATCAATATTATCTGGTAACCTCTCTTGTTCTGTTCATTTCACCTTTTCTAAGTTCATTTGCAACCTGAATTTCTACAGACTCCAATTTAAGCAACTTAATACAAGTGAGAGTATTAGCATTCAAATATTTAGAAGTTTTATCCTCTCATTTTGAACAAAACAACTTCTATTTACTAATATTGTACAACATTTTAGCACAATTGATACCCCTGAAGACTTCCATTATTGAAGAAGAGGTTCTGAATATCAAAGGTTCATATTAAATCCTTCTTCAATAGAATTTACTCATCTGGAAGTCACATGTTTAGTTGGGTTGTTTTAAATGGTAAATCTTAAAAAGCCCACAGATGAAATGAGTATATCTTTTAATGATCCAAAGCAATGCAGCCTTCGACACCACAGATTAACTCCAACATGTGGTATTTGAAGGCATGTGATTTTTAAGGATGGTAGACTTGCCTTTCGAAATTTGTTTTGTTTAGGATAGCCTTTAAATAATTTTTAACTGATTGAACTCCCACCAGTGAATGACACAAAGGCATTCTGTGTAGCAAGGAAGCCAGCCAGCCTGGGGTTCAAAAGTGGCCTGGGATTATATACAAAGTGAATGATGAATATATTTATAGCACAAAGTTAACTAGAAAAGGCATCGTTGTGTGCATGTTTTTCTTCCATATGCTGTAAGGTATAATGTATTTTATGGGGAGACTGGAGGAGATAGAGGGGAGAGAGAGAGAATGAAAAGAGGGTTGTGAGTTGGGTGGTTACTGAAATACCTCCTTGATTTTTCCTAAATTATTTGAAGTGGCCTGTCTTAGTCCCAACCAAGCTTGAACTACTGGCCTCCTTCAGCCATTATGCTGTCTGTGAAAGCACTGATTTACAGTAAGCAACAAAAAACTGGCTACACAGGAAAAAGAGTTTTAGGGAGACTGTATCCTTTGCTCCTCTCTGTCCTTAAGCCTCAGCAGGTTTGAATCACTGGTGTAGGTTCATTCTGCTTTCATTGGTATACCACCAATGCCTGCTGCAAACCTGCTAAGGACTTTTCATCAAGAGTTTATAACATTATTTCTGTCTCCAGGGCTGAGAATCAGGCTGAATTATCTCCAATTTAGGGCTTACCACAGTTTAGGAATTTAATAAATAGATTCAAGTATCATAGAATTTATAACCCAGGGAACGATTTGACATAGAATGTGCTTTGCAGAATTATAAATATATTTTATAGATAAGATTAGAATATATTATAGAGAATTATAAATGCATAAAATACGTATTTTAAGAAAGATGCTATATAAAACATGCTCCCTGTCCACTTTATTGTTGTGATGTGTGTTCTGGTTTGTTCATTTACTTTTTTAAAATCACTGTCTCAACTGCGTTTCAGTGTTTCCTTTTCCCTTTAGACCATATCAACCTGTTCATTTCTACATGCCAGAAGAGAGACAGACACAGAGAGAAAAAATCTAAATAAGTTCATAGAATTTCATGTATGCTCTGATCTTGAAAATGAGTGGGCTTAACAGAAGCTTGAACAAACTTTCCAGTTTAGTGTCTTTTTCCTCTCTAGGTTCAAAATCAGTTTGACCTCTACTTACATTTTATTAGATTTTATAGTTATTATATTATCAATATAATACCTTCAAATACCTGCTGTTTTACTATTGTTTGCCTCCCTAATTTTTAAAGAAAAATTCCATTCCTATAGGAAATTAATACATTTATAAAACATCAATATCCAAAAACTAGTTTCCAAGATAACTTTTTCAATGTGACCTATTGCATAAAGTGTAATAAAAACACTGAGGTTTTTCAGAGATTTGAGCTGTGGTTCACACTTAAAAGTCAGACCTTCATTTTATGGAGTTGCTCATCAAATTAAATTTTATTTGATCCATCAACATTTTATACTATTAAACTGTTATTAGTTGAAATGAATATGTTATTAGCACATAAAACTTGTTCCCTGGCAAGGAGGATTCATTTGTATCACTCTTAATTTCAGGACACCTAGAATGGATTAACTGGAACTGTACAGGACTGGATTCCTCCCGAGAGAAAGTATGGTATCTTTTCCCAAGAGCTTAGAATGTATACTTTTTGCCCTTTTTTCCCCCCACTGTGGGGGGCGGGAGAGAAGTATAGATTATTAGCTAAAAAACAAAAACAAAAAAATGACAAATTCTGTCAAGTAGCTTTGTGTCATGGTAATTTGCTAAGCCTGTTATATCGTGGTAAACACCCTACTTTGAGGTGCTTACTTGAGGGGATATTTAGACTTTGACTTATTACCTTCCATGGTTCCAATGGGCATTAAATAAAAATAGTACTCATTCTGTACTACGACTCCTGTGATACCAGCCTACTTTTATTTACAATTTTCATGGTGATAACTTTCCAAAGGATTAAAAGCATCATTTGTACGATAAGTTTATAAGACAGTTTAAAACAAAGAGAATAAAAACAATTTATTTAAATATGAAAAAAAGGGCAAAAAAGACAGTCACACTAAGGGACTCTGTATAAAATGGTTGTAGCAATTGAGGGGCAACAGACTTGCTTCCTTAAATATCCATTTAATCTATATTTCCTGGCCACACTGCTCAGTTCCCAAAATGGATTCTAGTAATGACTGTTAGGGAAACACAGTGCACACACACACACACACAGGTTAGTTTTTGATGTAGCAATGTCTCCTCCTGCACATCTTTGGGGCTGTTATTCCACTTGTAGGTACATTCTATAAAACATTTTGTTACAGCTATGCCTTGGCTTTAGATGCAGTAGAGCTGAGTTTCTAAGCTTTTTGGAGATAATCTGAGTGTCCTAATATTTTCATGAATTGTTTAATATCCTGACACTATCAATTACTTTATGTCTACTCATCTAGAGATCTGTCACTCTCCTTAATTTTAACTTTTAGTAGATGAGAAACAGCTTTGATAATGCAAACATTTCTTTTTCCCTGAATTTGTTGGTGAAATATGCACTTTTCACATCTCATTGTGTGTGCCTGTATATTTCATTCTTGAAAAACATTTATTCCCTACCTTGAAACAGGTCAGACTGAAATTGGGCCTTCTACCGCTAGACTGAAAAGACCTAGAATTCATCGACAGTACAGATACAACAATAGCCTTCATGGAACACAAAAACTCTAGTTCTCATAGGATATCCTTGACCTCAGTGATGAATCATGAGGGCGTAGAGGGTTGAGAAAAAAGTAGACACATCACTACTGTTTCTAACAAGATATCCCAAAGCTATTTCAGTTCCAGGAATTCTGTCTGCTCCTGTTTTTACTTCATTAGCAATTCAACATGTCTGATTTGCCCACACAATACTTTCAAGCTACTTTACCCATTTGACCTGGAACAAAGTGAAAGCACATTTTGCCCAGTTGAAAGGTCTCCTGGCAAGTTGGTTAGCAACAGGCTTGCCAGTCTGGGTTCTGTTAGCAAAGACTAAACACATTTCATTAGACAATTACTAGTGAACTGATTTCCTCTCTATGAAGTTGGGTTTTTGTTTTGTTTTGTTTTGTTTTTCTATATTCTTCAGCCATTCCCCCTCCCCCACCACCTGTTATTCAACTTTTTACTTGTATTTCTTGCCTCAACACGATTTCCAATTTCTTCAAGGCAGACATTTCCACGTCTTTGTGGCTGTGATTAACGCAGTTTAATTGCCAAGAACAGGTACCGAGTAAAAGTTTATTTGAAGGAAAGAAAAGCGACACAGCAGTCTTACATCGTCCCTCGGCAGTTTAAAGTTGTGGCTAGATACGTATCAATTAAGGAATCAAGCTGAGGCATCTGCAAGTACCAATTTTACTGTAATGCTCTAAAATTTGGTCAGTTGGGGAAGTCTTTACTTGTAACAGTGTAAGTACACAACGGACAGGAGGGTTTTGCGAGAAAGGCAGGCGCTCTGCCCTGTTCTGCCCGTGACATGATGACGTAAGAACGACTCCCAGAAACTGCCTGAGTTGCTCACGTCCCCAGCTCCCCGATGTGCACCTGGGCGCGGGACGCCGCAGGACTGAGGGAGAGCGCTCCTCGGTCCCGCTCCCCTGCGCACGGGCAGGCGAGGACCCGGGCGTCGTCACCCCCACGGGAGGGAGCAGAGAGAGACACCCGAAGAGGGCCTCGAGTCATCCGTGTCCCCGGGTGCCCTGCCTCTCCAGGATACCTGCGTAACTCGCAGCAGCCAAGCCCCACTACGTTTAAAAGTGTATTTGTGGTTGTCACGGTGCACACCGAAAAGCTCGCTCCGCACCCCCAGAGTGCGCGGGGCCTCTGAGCCTGGAAACAAGCCCCTCCCAGCGCAGCTGTCGCCGCCGCCTGCGGGCTCCTTTCACTTTCTCACGGCCAAGTCACCCAGAGGGGCGCCGCTGCTGCCACCGCCGCTGCGCCCGAGGACTCCGCCCCGCGCCTCTTCGCTCCGGGCCCCCGCCCGCCCGAGCCCCGCCCACCCCAACAGTTGCTGCCTGCGATTGGCACGCGCGGGAGGGCAGCTCCGGCTCGCCACCCCCATTGGCTGGGCCCCCCTGTCAGTCCGACGACTGCCCGCCACCCCCTCCGCCTTCCCGAAGAGCCGCCCTCCCATTGGAGGAGTCTGAGGGCTGGGGGCGGGCGGGGAGCGCCGGTCCAGCCGCTTTCGGTCAATCGCAGAAGCCCAACGCCCGGAGGGAGGGAGGCAGGGGAAGGAGAGGGGCGGACTGAGGGTGGGGGGAACATCTGGCCGGCGCCGCCGCGTGCGTGCGTGGTGCGTCC